ATTTCATGGATTAGTTGAAGTTAAACATTGACATCGTTGGATGCCGGCTCACTGGTCTAGTGGTTAAGCTTTCGCGCGCAAGACCGGTAGGTCCTCGGTTCGAATCTCACGAGGTGGGATCGTGGGTGCGCACTGCTGAGGAGTCCCACAATAGGACTAAATGGCCGTCTACTGCTTCCAGGTTTTTCATGGTGGTCTAGCTTCAATCGACTCATGATCTCAACTATTAAAATATAAAATTATGTGAGTGACCAGTCGTGCTTCTAGATATTAATAGATGGTTGAGAAAGATTATAAATAAATTTTATTAAAATATTTTTTGACTTTATTACTTTTCGAATATGAAACAAAAATCATTTTTCTTATTTACAAAGTAAAGTCAATATCATATTAATGTTTAAGTGGTATTTATCATTGGCGACAAATCGATGTTTAAAATTAAATAAAATTTATACTTTAATTTCAGTGAACAGTTTTACTTTAAAATATCAAAATAACTCAGTAAAAGTCGACAATCAATACTTGACATGGGAGTTTTTTGTAAAACTCACATGTTGCCAGTAACTGCATGAATAATTAACGTTTTCAGCATATAAACCTGTCTCCAAGATTAGTTTCATTCATTCCATGCTCGTCAATCGTGATTTTTAGAGCATTGGGTGACAAAAGTTAAGTTATAAATTCAGTGACATTAGCATTCGCTGAACAGTCTTAAAAGTTAAATTAAATAAGTCTTTCTTCATTTCAGAACAAATAAGGATGTTAGTAATTCATTTCTAGTTACAAATAATCACGTGATAATTATGTTTTTAGATAGTTAGAATTGTTGTGGTCATTCAAGGTTTACAAAACACCAGGAAATTATAGACCCCCTAAAGATCTTTAAAAACTGTCAAATAACTTTGAATTATTAAATAAATTAAGATAAAATCCATTCTGTTTGTTGAATAAACTTACGTTTCATAAGAACATACAGTGTTACTTGTCAATCGGGATCATAAGGTCAGTCATCAATACAGCTACAAATTGGTATAGCACAAATGTAATAAGTATTCGGTGTAGATTTTTGTTGATAACGTTTTGCTTCCACCTATTATTTCTCCAGGAATTAATAAGTGTACGTGTTAAGTCTATTTGTTATGACTAAACTCATGTGTACTACATTTGGTTTATTCCGTATGCCACGGTATAGTACTTACAAAGCGATGAGTAGTCTGAAATATTTAATTATTTCCACGTGTTGAAAATTGGAAAGAATGTATCTCGGTAACGACCAAACATTTAACACTTTTGTTTATAGTTATATATTATATCCTTATTTTCCCTCATATTGATGGTACCATTCATTCGATCCGTCATTGCCTAACATCCTGCTACTTCCGGAATGTAGACTTCAACTTATTTTCGTTAGATGTTGCTATTCCTGCAGGATATGTCTGAACGCGACCACATAGCTTATGGTACATTTGATTTTTCCCCTATTCGATGGGTACTCATACTTTATGTCTTGAATTTTTTTTCATCTTGAAAGATTCCTTCCCATCTTTTGCTACAAGGTTTGTAAACTATAGAAACTTATCCCGTTTTCAAATTTTTTTTAAAAACAGACCTGATATATTCATATCACGATGAGTCTAGATATAATGTTAGAATCCTTATGTGAATTATTCAGTCTCTAGAGAAATAACATTCCCTATTAAAAATGGAAAGAATAATGTATTCGACAATCCACAAAAAACTATAGAGATGGAATTCAATAGTATATTTAGTTTCAGTGAACTTTACGTTATACTTCAGGAACTCGTTGAGCACTGTCAACGCCGATCGCGTAAGGTGTAACCTAGACTCCCATAAGGAAGAGAAGAGAACAGAATGAATAAGATTAAACATGAATAATTATCATCTGGTGATTTACTTGGGATAGTTTCTAAGGAGTATTAATCTAACAGTTGTCTCATGATATCTTTATATAAACCGAAGTACTAAATGTCTTCCCAATCAACAATTGTTGTCTTATTATTTAATGTTGATACATTACTATCAGCCAGATACAAATGAAATACTCAGATGAGTGTTATAAATGTTTTAGCCATATACTTCGTTCCATTTTACACACATCTACAAAACAAATTGCACATATTGCAAAACATATTACACTGGACAAACTGCAGTCCCACTTCACCCCCTCCCACACACACGAACCCAGACTGTCAGTAAAATTACACGATATGTTTATGATATCAGTGGATGGGACAAACACCGACGCGAATTCAATTGGGGAAACATAAAATTCTGAACTGAACATATCTCTAGAAGCATGCCGTTCAGACCAAACGATGGTCAACACACATACAAACGTCTATCCGAGTTATCAGATCAAATGAAATTAGTCAATTAATCACATCGTTATTGGTCAAGTGAACAAGATAGCCGCCATAGATGCGAAGACAAAACACGAGCAACACTATCAAAACGAACTGATCAAAGGATTTTAGAACAACCAATACACCTCACTTCTACATAAAGTAGGTAGGTGCTTAAAGTGTTGTCAAGAATACAAATAAATGTTCCTCAATCAAATCGCCTAGCTCAAAGAAGTTAACATCAGCGAAATTATCTTTATCTGGTGCAAATCTTCTCAATTGTATACAGTAACAAAATGTTATATAAGAACAAATCAGACATAGTTGTGACCAGGAATGACTTGTAGTTGAAGAAAATATGTGTTGAAAGAGTCTAAGAAGCTGCAAGTTAAAGATCAAAATGTAGTACTTCCAAATATTATTTTCTACGGACATACAGTGGAGATATATGATGTAATAAAAATGAGAAATGCGAACTGAAAGTGTGTAACAACAAAGTGTTTAGCTGAGAACCTGGATGACATTGTTGCGAACCACACAGAAGCATCTATTCTCTTAAAATTTCAGCCATATCTTATTGATGAGTGTCGACTTGCGCGAAACTTGAATGAATAACTATTTTCTACTGATTACTTCTAACCATCCAATTCCTAAAACTAATGCACACGATGTTAAAGCACTAAGCTTAGTGACAACTCTGAAACGTGATTAGTACTAATGGACTAGATAAATACTTGTAATTCATCACCAAACTACTAAACAGTAACTTTTCAGAGGTTATATGAATGAATACCCTGAATAGCTCGATCTTTTTTCACTGAGTATATGAGTTTATACACATGTATGAGATGGTATAATGTAATCAAACGTTTTTTAAGATTACAAATGCTGTAGCTCGTTACTTTTGTGAAGATTAACACTGGACTATCATATTTCTTTTTTAGTAGATCAAATTGCTATCAATAAAGATAAAAATAATTGTGAAACCGGATCTTCATTCTAGGGTTTTGTAGCATCTATTTTACGTCTGATTCAATGGATGCTATTCTAATCGGGAAATACAATAGAACTTGGAAACAACGAAGTTTAAAATCATGTCCAATTTTTACATGAATTATAGTTATTCCATATTATTTCATAAAACTAATCCCGTATAAACCACTCAGTAGTCACCAGCAATTTCTTACATTTTACTTTTGACCATTTATTGCCCAACCCACCTACTAGCCACAGCTTTGTGTAGCTGAATATTGGCTAAACTTTGTATCTAAATGATAGAAATGCTTTCCAACTTTTTAATCAAAATAACTGAAACATAACTTTAATCTACAACTTATGATTTGAAAGCTGAAGGCTCAAAATGCTAATCTACCTCTCCCCCCAATCTTCCCATTAACCATAATATGGTAATGTAGCCATTAATAGAGATAAATATCAAATGATCGGAATTCCTTCATCCATAAAATCATTATGCTTGGTTATATTTGAATAACAGTAGGTTAACAACGCATCAGATTTTGTTTTTAGATAAATTATTCCATAACAATCATTCTCCTTCATATTCCTGAACAGTGAATTATGTCATTTTTGTATTTCAATGACTACAAATGATCATCTGTATAGGAATAATTTTATCATAGATTAACATTAGCTCATGGATCACTAAAACGTAAGAAGTACTAAACATCTACTTAGTTCTGTTTAAGGAACTTTCAATATCACTGGACGCTCATGACCTCATATAGAGTTTAATTGTTGTGCAGGGAATACAACCATTGGACCGATTTCCGGAGGTTAATATATATATGTATATAAACAACCAGAATGACCTTCAAATGGCTGTATTGACCCAGTGCTTTATTGATAATTCTCAGTTATTGATTATCTATTCCTTATGATTCAATCTCGTTATAGCTTGTTAATTTATTATTCTTCCTTAATCAGGTTATTGCATATTGTTGCATTCAGTTCTAACGCATTTCTGGTGATTTGTCCTTGAAGCTTGTGATCAAGGCTTTCCTGAAGTTATTTATCTACATCTTATGGCTATAAGAATGTCTTGCAAGACATCCAGTAAAAGCGATAAGGGCGGCCTGCTTGAGCATCTGGGCTACCTGTTCCTGCCATCTAGATATTTCAACAAGTTATCTATTGTTGTTTGTTTTAATATATCATTATGTTTATTAATCGCATAACCTACTCTGCTGCGTTTCTGAAAAGTGTACAACCTTTCGTTGTCAAAGTTACAGAAAACTCAATAAGAGACAATATGGTTGCTGGCAATATACAACGAAAAGAATGTACATTATTCAATTGTTCATTCACTGAAGTGCTAACATCTAACTGGCGATCCCTCAATATTTATCGCCAGGACCGACCAAGAAGAAAGAAACGGAAACTTGTTGAAATACTTTGCGCTGAGAATTCTATATTGTACCAAAATTATGATATTGAATAAAGCTAATAATAATAATAATAATAATAATGTGCGCTCGTTTGTAGCTATATTTATCACGCTAGTTACATAGACACATCAAACTTTACGTACCAATTACATCCATTTATTTTGTTTATTTGTTAGTTACCCTTTTCCCATTGTTTCATTTATTCATTCTTTCTTTCCGTTTTCCTCTTACTGTTTATTATCAAACTCATTTTCAGGTTCACCAATAGCTCAGTTTTTTTTCTGACTGTTGTTTGCTATTTTCCCTTAATTTTAGACACTTAGCTCCCTTTCTACGTTTATGTGTGTTTCAGTCATTTCTCTTCGTTCAACAAATTTAAGAGTTGATAGATGAATAGATAAATAGCGAAGTTGACCGTGTTTTATTATATCATCAGAGGATCTCGTCTAATTTAAGAACAATCGATAAAACTCAACTCTTATATGTCTACCACACGATCTCCAATTCATATCTTTAGGATAAAAAAAATCTAGAATACGAGGTGATCACATTCAGGTTACATACATATGTATCAATGTGTATGTGTATAGATGCGACGTACAGATGGGTATGTTTTCCATTTGTTTATTGTGATAATTAGTGATCTAAAGTTGGTTTGAAAATTATGTGTGTACATGTATATTTCAGTTTGTTGAAAAGGAGTAATATCGGCGAATAAATTCTTAAAATTTGAGACATATTTAGAGAACATCTCACTATAAAAATCTTACTGAGAAATACTTTTTTCCTACAATTGATATTAATTATCAACAGCAGTGTTATAAGATAATATATCATTCCATGGAGTTGTAATCAGCAGATTTCAGTTATGATAAATATCACTTCATTAACCCAACCGGCTTCACCAAATTCACGTAGATCAAGTTCAATCTCAGCACTTGCATTGTATAATACTGCTGTTACGAGCACTTATACTCATCCAAATAATCCTATTCATAATAATTCAACTGTGGTGAATCTTTACACGAGACAGTATATGCAAAAAAAGAAATCTCATCGATGGCGATTGGTCAGAACACCAATTCCATTGAATCCAGTCTATCGTAAAACATTATTTTTAGCCATACTTATACCATTTATTGGTGCATTACTGTTTATCGGAGCAACATTAACACCATATTGGGAGAATGTTCATTTTAAATTCATTAAATTGTTGGAACTATTTTCAATCAAACAAAATTGCTCAACATTCACTGGGCATGAAAACGGTAACATGTACAATAAGTCACTAATTAATCAAACAGAATTCGTAATTTTAGAAGATCCAAAGCGATGGATTAATAACAATAATGATAATAATATTAATAATTATACCTTAGAATTTGTCATATTTCGTGATGGTAAAATATTAAATTGGAGAATACTGAAACACTTATATAAAAATTGTTTGACAGTTACATATAAAATGAATGAAATCATAGGTATTGTCGTACATTCATATAAACATATCACATCTACCGAGAATACTCCGAAGCATTTATCACGTGAAACAATAACACCAAGATTATTCACTCGTAACAAATATACATTCACACGACATGAATGGATACAGTTAGTAGAGCATGGGGATTTGTTAGACGATACACAGGATGATGAAATGAACAGAAATTTATGGTTAATTATGAATTTGCAAGCTGGTATCTGGACAATGTGTTTTCGATTAGCAGGTAAATAAAAATGAAATTCCTTTTTGTATCCTGGATATAGGGTGTTTGTTTCGTGATCAATATTTTATTAAGAACATAACAGAAGTAAATAAAGGCCACCAAAGGATGAGCATACTGAATCATGAATTCCTCAGCGTTATTTAGTCCATGTGGGATGTGGATTTTGATGCTGGAATACATAAGTAGGTCTCTGATTGTCGATCGCAGATGTAACCCAGAATTGTTCGCATCTGATGAGACAGTTAAGTAAAAAGTACCAGAATTAGGCTGTGTATTACTTACTTACCTACTTACGTCTGTTACCCAGTGCAAAGAGTCACAGGTTGCCTACCAGCATTCTTCATCAAAATCTGTCCTAGAAAATCCTTGACAGTTGTTTACAACTGCTATTCATTCTCTTAAAGTCTGCTTCCAATTACCGACACAATGCGTTCCTTGGACTTTTTTCTTAACTATTCAGAATTCCATGTTAGGGCTTGCCTCGTGATGCAGTTTGTTCGTTTTTTCAATGCATGTCCTATCCACTTCCAACATCTTTTCTTACTTTCCTCTTCAGCTGGAAGCCATTTTGTTCTCTCACACAGTACGTTGTTGCTAATGGTATCCGGAAAATGAACACTGATTATCTTGTGTAGTCAATTGTTTGTAAATAGTTGTACTTTTTTGATGATGGTTGTGGTGCGATGTATACTACTTATGTTGACAGGTATAGGTAGTATGCAGAACCAGTTGGAAGTAGAATGCATGAGTGAAGAAGATTGAGAAGATTCAGTTAAAGAAACGATGGAGGGAAACAAAAAGTAATTGTAATCAAAACGGAATTGGAAGAATCATGAATCATGTAAAGGCCAACTGGTGGAAGATGTGCAAATTATGTGTTTTACGTACTTAATCCTCGACTGGTCTCTCTCCTTTACAATATTTCCCTACTAGATCTGTTGGTGCTGCTTGACTGACCAGTGGATTCAATGAGGCTGACCTATTCGAGAGTTCTTCAAAGTATTGTACTCATATATTCCAAAGTTTTTGACTCTCAGCGATTGATTTTCCTACTTAATCCTCGACTGGTCTCTCTCGTTTACAATATTTCCCTACTAGTTTCTTCATTATATCATCATATAGTTGTTTCACACTTCCTTCTCATGCAGCTCTTTCCGATGTCATTGCTTAGAACAGAATCAGAGAAACTCCCTAAGTGTGTGAAGTATTTTCCACTTCGTGACCGAGTACAGTAGTATTCCCCCCTATCTAGCCTTTGCTGTCCTGCTTGGGTCCAATGGGTTTCGCTGAATCCGAGCATTCTAAAGTTGTATCTCTTCATTTCGGTAGCTATTTGGCTGGTCCCCTCCCGTCTCTCACATTGTCCGGACGTTCCATGAACATATAGAAATTGTTGCTCTGGTTGTTAGAAGAGGCATCGTCCTCGTGACTTCCGAAGAATTTCGGCTTTCATCAAGAGGCGTCCTAATTCATCTTAATGAAGATCATTCAACTTTTGGGGCATAGTTTAAATGGTTTAAGTTTTTCCTTTTGTTTAACTTATTTTGGTAGGTTTGTTTTCAATGGGTTGGGGTTGGTGACCTGATTACCAACACCCCTCCACTCTTGCTTGTGACAAGCCTTAACCGTAGAAGAGCTACAGTTAGATTTCATGCTATGTATACATGCACCATATGGAACTACCGATGACCAATAAAATCCATTAGTTTATAAGTTCACGGGATTTTAGACTTATGTTTCTGAAAGTGTGACAACATTATAGTTTTGCAATCTGTGTAAAAATTTCAACTGGTGTTCGGAGAACATCTTTATTTTAAATTAGATTTGATGGTGAGCATGCTTTAACTTTTATCTTCCTTCAACTTTCTTCAATATAAACTCATACGTCTTATTACCTGATTTCATATATTCTTTTCAAACTATTTTCAACTATCATCAGTGATACTGTTATTTGAATTCCAAATAGTTTTTAAATTTTCAGGATTATGCACAATGGAGTGCAATATCTTGCATAAATTAAATTCTGTACCTAGTGACTGTGTTGTTCATGATTTACGTAACCAAAATAAACAGATGATTTGATGTTGAAACAGTAGAACTTTTCTCTGAATGACTGACGGTGGATAGCGTTTGTACATGTGAATGATTGAAGAACACTGGTAATAATAAGAGTTATCGATGCTGTCTGATTAATGAGTAGTAGAAAAATTATTAGATTTTATGTTCAAAATAGAACAGAAATTTAAAAAACCACTCAGTAGTGTTCGTAATACGTATGTACTAATACCCAAATGTTACTTTATAGATTAAATAAAGTCGAAACTTAAGTCATATTCTAGAGTTAAATAAAAAAAATAAACTACTACGTCCAATAACAAAATTCGTCATTATGATTTGATTACCTAACAAGAAGACCTTATGTTATGATCAAATGACTTGGGTGTGTCTGACTAACCGTTTATCGAACAATCCGCATTTGACTGCCAACGCGATTGATAGATTATTTTGACAAAGCTGAGTAGGACCATGTGACGCGGTTTTACAGTCTTCAACACTAAATAAAATTTAACCAAATCCTACTCTTTTAGTTTCATAACCACACTACACATTACGGTTTACACTTTACAACCAGTAACAAGTACTTGATTAAGATTGTTTCGTTAATGAAGGGTTAGATTTAGTGATTATTTATCTGTATACACTAATTAGTTGATTAGTAGTAACTAGTGTTTCATTGTACAGCTATTATCGCTGATCAGTTCCTCTTGAATAAGCATCAGTATTCCCTGTTTGAAGACAATCTCCAAAATGGTCTGAACGTAGGTTTTATATTAGCAAGCAATAATTAACAAGGCCTATATATAATCTCTTGGGAAATAACGGTTACATGCAACTCAAATTACTGATACTTTGCAAATATATATATCAGAAGACTGACCTGTATTTCAACTTAAATCAGTTTATGTTATATTGCGATGAATACTGACTGACTAAAAAGAAACTGACGATAATGCTACATGTTTTTATAGATTAGTAGTTCAACAACTTGTTTCAGTTCCAGGATGAGACTAACATTTGATAGAATAACTTTTACAAATGACCTTTTCAGTCTACCTTTTGATGAAGTGACTTATATCTCTGTCAAGTTTTCAATTTTTCTTATATTCGGTAATTATTTGTGTCCATGTTTTGCTTATTCAGATGCTTACAAACCTAAACTGCTAGCCTACAGTTCAAATATCCATCCAGATTTAAACATACCACTTGACTGTATGTCATATCTACAAGCAAACTTATCTGAAACAAAGAATCTATGCATTCAATTTCTTTTAAGTAAGTCAACTGAGTTATTACATAAGTGAATGTAGAATATGTATATATATATATATATTACCATAACGATTTCTACCGTTATCTTCACGAACTGTCTACAATATACTGAGCTGGCAGGATTTATTGTAATTGTATTTATAATATTATTGTTATTGCGACAGAAGTGTAAGAGAGTCCCATTTTTTTATCTTAAAATCCAGGAGAACAATATTAGTAATTAATAAACAAGAAATTGAACTTTCAGACAAAAATAGAAAGCTTTGATCTTATTATTTATAATAAAACCATGGTCTGTTAGTCAGTCGGGAGTAACGAAGGCTTTAAACAAAGGGAAAATGAGTTAGACCATGCAATCAAAATTCTACATACCTCAGATTGTAGATGAAGACTAAAATGTGCAAAATTCTCAATGATAAACCATTTGCATAATAAGCTAGAAACAGTCGTAAGTAAATATACATAAAAATAACTCTTAAAAATGTCACCTAAGCGACACTATTCCCAAATTGAGATGTCTTTAAAAAAACACTGTTAACTACGTAACACCAGCCAGCTGTTTTGTCTTAGTCTATGGTTAACCAGTAGTACAATTTTATGTCGAAATCCCGTTTATTTATGATGGAAATTTAAGTTTTCTTTTGATCGATTATAAACAAAATTATTAGTTGCCACTTGATGGGACCTAAAATGTGGTGGCTTTTCTTAAAGCCTACGCTAAGTATGTTACATAGGAAGGCAATAAAGGATTTACGATTGAACCATCAAGTTAACATCATATGACAACACCAGAAACCCATAGCTATTACTATTGGCCTTTAGTGTTAAATGCGTTATTGAAATGTCCACTAATTCTGCAGTAAGAAAAATTCATATCAATGTCTAATCGATAGAGTTTAGCTTTTTAAATAATAGACAGAAGTAAAATTCGTAATCCTGAAATATTTGCAACAAATGATGATACCCGTAACTCCATAGTTTGGTTAGAAAACGCTTTAACGTTTATAAGGACATGAAATGTGCTTAAGTCTTACAAAAGTACAATCAAGTTATGGTATACGTAACTAACGAGCTTCCTACCAATTTCATCATCACTCTATATATAAATAAAGTCGACATGACGGGATACTTGCAATATCAAAGGACTCGTCGAAAATACCATTATGTAAACGTAAAAATAACTAGAAAGTACCATATATGTCCTAAAAATTGTAAAAATAGAAATAAAAAAATTGCCAGTTTAAACGGTAATCATATTCAATCAGTCAGTATAACTTCGTACGTACGTACATCAGTTCGAGTCGCCATACTACATTAGCACACAGATACAATTGTCGATTCAAATCCCGTAGTGGTAGAGATAGTAAGAGTATAAGCAGTAATCGGAAAGATTAGGGTTTGTAGATGTTATTTAAGGAGTACGTCACTTATTGTGAATGTTACAAAAATAATATCTTTCGGAAAATACTAACACATAAGTTTGATTCAACCATACAATACAAATTTAAAATTAAGCTGCCTCCTATAAGAAAAAAAGAAAACAGTTTAATGTAGATAACTTCCATATAAACGGTATCATTTCCTTGAACTGTATAGTCAAGTAATTATTGGTAATTTTTGACTTGTAGTAGTCTATCATTAAATGGAATAGGGTTACGCTAATAACAAAAAATTATTTTAGTCCAATGTATTTATAAGTATCGAATGTAATTAATGTTTATAACCAGTAAATTTGTCAATAAAAGTCACATATGATAAGTACACTTTCATTAGTGAATCACTTAGTTACAAATGTGAACTTTTTCAAAACAGATTGAAAAACGTGTCCAGTAATTTGATGAAGCAAAGTTTTGTTGAATGAGTTCGACTTTATCAAGACTAGAGTGTGGTAACGTATAGAACATCGGAATTCATGTGGAACGACTTAGTATTTATTTCGACTGACATCGCAGAACGTAATGGAAATGTACTCAAAATAATAACTCAACCCGCTTAGAATTTGTAGGGTTCCCACTTGGAGTACCGTTTACGATACACACATTGTTCTCAATTACGCTCTCAACTGTCTCCTAGGTCATAACCAATCCTGTTGTTATACACTTTCAGTTCGCATTTTTCATTTTTATTACATCATATATCTCCACTGTATGTCCGTAGAAAATAATATTTGGAAGTACTACATTTTGATCTTTAACTTGCAGCTTCTTAGACTCTTTCAACACATATTTTCTTCAACTACAAGTCATTCCTGGTCACAACTATGTCTGATTTGTTCTTATATAACATTTTGTTACTGTATACAATTGAGAAGATTTGCACCAGATAAAGATAATTTCGCTGATGTTAACTTCTTTGAGCTAGGCGATTTGATTGAGGAACATTTATTTGTATTCTTGACAACACTTTAAGCACCTACCTACTTTATGTAGAAGTGAGGTGTATTGGTTGTTCTAAAATCCTTTGATCAGTTCGTTTTGATAGTGTTGCTCGTGTTTAGCTGCCCTTGTAGGTTTCGTTATGGTGATTTGTCTTCGCATCTATGGCGGCTATCTTGTTCACTTGACCAATAACGATGTGATTAATTGACTAATTTCATTTGATCTGATAATTCGGATAGACGTTTGTATGTGTGTTGACCATCGTTTGGTCTGAACGGCATGCTTCTAGAGATATGTTCAGTTCAGAATTTTATGTTTCCCCAATTGAATTCGCGTCGGTGTTTGTCCCATCCACTGATATCATAAACATATCGTGTAATTTTACTGACAGTCTGGGTTCGTGTGTGTGGGAGGGGGTGAAGTGGGACTGCAGTTTGTCCAGTGTAATATGTTTTGCAATATGTGCAATTTGTTTTGTAGATGTGTGTAAAATGGAACGAAGTATATGGCTAAAACATTTATAACACTCATCTGAGTATTTCATTTGTATCTGGCTGATAGTAATGTATCAACATTAAATAATAAGACAACAATTGTTGATTGGGAAGACATTTAGTACTTCGGTTTATATAAAGATATCATGAGACAACTGTTAGATTAATACTCCTTAGAAACTATCCCAAGTAAATCACCAGATGATAATTATTCAAGTTTTGTTCTTTTCCCTTCCGGCCTTTTTTATGCAGTGCTAGTCAATGGCTAAACTGGACAGCTTAATTACCTCTTCGGTAACCTCTCTGGTGTTTTGAGCTAATCATCGAAACGATGAATTATAAAGTCATGGAATATACTTTAGGATAAATTTATTGTACTGATACAGCTGCGTGTAGTAATAATAACATTTTCATGGGGTGTCATCAACGAACCGTTATTTAGCTTCGGACAACAAATTGTGATGAATAAGTATCTAGGATGGTAGAAGAGTTATATACATACAGACGTAAGAATTTCTACGAGATACAATCAACAACAATGAACTCATTTTTTTCGTGAGTTAAAGTTGATTCTCAGCTAAATGATGTTACACTGGCTTCTACATACTTCTATGAAGTTTGCAGTAACGTTTACGAATGTTGTGCCTTTCACTATCAGTCAGTGGTACGGGTAATTTGAAGAAATATGCTCAGGAATCTTGATGAATTTTTAATTAAATTTGACTAAAGTCGGAAGTATTTTAAAAATGGATAAGATTATAATAAGAACTGTAAAAGTAGAGGTAAGTAGTCTTTTATGATATAAGTAATAGTCTCTCTCCTTAGGTAATTTTGAGAGTGTAGAAAATAAAAAAGTGACTAATCCTATCCCTCTAGTAAAGAGATATATTCTCTGAGGAACCATTGACTTGAAGACAAATATGTGCCTTTGGAGATTGAAATATGATCGCGAAGTGATTGTACATAAATGCCAGTTTCTAGATTTCTCAACCGGTGTCCATAGTAGAAACGTTGAGATTCACTTCAGACATCCAAAATAATACGTTCTTATGTTGTTTTTTCAAAGATAAATGACCTAGATTAATATGAATGAACTCTTGTATTATGCTTTCTCCGATTCAAAGATAAAAGGACCTACGAAGAACTTAAAAAAGTTCATTTATCATGTAGAAACTTTATTTTCTGCTATATTACTATTTTTGCTTTATAATTATTCATTTAAAATAATTGTTTTTTGATTGTCTAGATCACCTTCAAGATTGCTCACATTCGGGTCCAGAGAACATTTACATTGAATTTGAGTGCTTACACAGATACATATTTGTATCAGGTTCCACATTGTTTGTTACTGACTGACTGAATAAACTGTAGTTAACATCCAAGGTAGACTGTAAGAGTGTTTTAAGACCATGGACTAGGTTTATTACGATTCAGAAATACCTATATATTGTATATTCAAAATGATTAGTTAAAACTTATGCCACTTTAAATATAAAGAGTATAGCAGAGGGAAAGGAAACGTTCGTTTGACAATAAAATGACAATGTAATAATTGAGATCATGAACCGATCGATGTTAGACCATCAATGAAAACTGGTAGCACTGGATGGCCGCTCCGTCCTATTATGGGACTATTAATTAAAAATAAACGTGCTTTACAACCCTATACTGAAAATGTAATAATTGCATTCGTTTCATTAATATAGATAAGAAACGAAATCACACCTCTTACCCAAACATTGATCTGAACGCATCGAAATGATATCGGCTGGATAATGTAAACTGACTCATGACTTTTTTGGAACGCTAGACAGTTACCATTTTTAATAACACGTTTTAGGTAAAGTCTTTTCCAAACTGAACAATATCACAAATTCTTTACTGTACCGATGAAAATTTTATGATATGAGTCGTAAAATACTTTTAAATCTTCATGTTTGTTCATTAAAATCTTCCAGAAATGCAGAATAATATTATTTCATGCGTTGTGGTAGTCTATCTATCAGTTGCAGCATCTGTATTGATCGGGGCGTTTTCAACTTTGTTTCGTGCTGTGCCTGCAGCTATGGTAACCGGTGTATTGTATATTACTTCTGGTAAGTTGTATTGTAAACACGCCGACTTCTTGTTACATAATTATAATTTTTCTCTACTACCTCGCACTTATTTGTATTCTGCTAATTCTTTTTCTTCATCGTGGTCATTTTTTATAAACTGATTTCAATATATATACATTGGTAAACATGAGAATGACATAACTGAAAAATTTTAAATGCAAAGTATTATTTTGCTAAAAATACAAAAATGTTTTCGCATAAAGAGACAATGGACCCAATCAATATCAAGAGAAAACTGATAAGGAGTTGAGTAGATAACAGACAATGATCAAGAATCTCTGAATTGAAGTTAATGTTCTTTTAAAAAATTGACAAAATGATCTACTGTAGGATATGTTGGTTGTTATTGTTAAAAAAATGGAAGCTTAGATCTCCGAGCAAGTTAGTGTTTTGGTTAAAATCATAGGTGTTTTGCTACAAATTATAACTTGAGGAGAACTGATCATACATAGAGCCGTTTCCAATTATAACAGTTCGTTGTATTCTTTAGGAATTCTATCAACAGCAATAAGTAACTGAATATGATTCCAAAAACCAGAACAACAACAAATTTTCACCACTAGTTGTTGTTTTACTTCCTTCGCACACCTGTTTTGCAGCTTACACACATCGTCTCGGTATTTCTGTTGTTTTTTCTTCAACGATTTCACTGAAAACATGCAGCTTTGAATTTGTCTAAGCGCGTCATATTTTGAATTATCATCTCTTGAATTCAATACACTAAAGATCAACAACGCTCTATTCAGATTTTTCAATACGTTACCAACAAATCTACTAGATAAAGCAATTCTTCTTGATGTTTAATATACCAAATCGATGAAGAGACCTGCCAACTCGGTTATGATTCTCTTAGCCTTTGAATAACACGTTAGCTAAAGTAGTATCTACATTTTCTTGGATGTTTGGTCACATCTGTCACTTCTGGAATTTCAGTCATCGTGATCACCTTTTCATCTTCACCTTGTGATCTGGCTATAGTCTGCGTAATCTATAGTCTTCCGTTTGTCTATAAAGTAGATTCACTGATCTAACACAGAATGTCTTACGTTTAGTCGTGAATCTGTCACTTACGAAACTTCCAGGTTTTCAAGTTATATTGCTTTACAATAAATCGCAATTAACGAGGAAGTCTTTCAGATTTCAAGACATTTGTGAATATACCTATTTTATATACTTTCCCGCTTAAGCACGCAATGTGGACACTACTGATTGCATCCGAGGCATGAGTACAGGTTTTAAAGGAGTGAAAATGGGTTTCTATTAGGAAAATGAAAAAGGTTTAATGATAGACAGTTTCTTAACAAATATACTTCAGGCCACTTGAACTTAGAAGTGTTTAAGTGAGACAAACTATTCATCTTCAGAAAACCATAGTTAAAGATATTAACATAGATCAAATTCATCTGAAAGATTTTAAGTTTATGTGCTGTGTATTGATGAATCACTAGACGACCAATGAAATCAAAACATGAAGATTATTTTTCTACAAAGATAATCAAAGATTCCAAAGTAGTTGGTGGGGGTCTATTCACTTCAATCAATTCTGTCACATTCTAGAAACAAGTGTGAAATCAATGAAAACCAGAGAAAGTAGGATAAATGTACCTTCCTAGTCTGTGACTTTGTACTAGTACTGCTCATGAGCTTACATAGGAAAGGTCAAACCAAGGTTCTTCATGTCAAGAGTATTTATTTGATTGAATATGTATTTATTTTAAAAAAAAAGATTTTGTCATTCAATATTGCACCATGTATTATTTTATATAATATTCCAGGTGTCTTCATTATTTTCGCAAATTGTATACATCATACAAAATTGAATCGTCTTGAGTACGAATGGGGTCCATGCTATCCAATATCACAAATACCTCGAACAGTAAGTTGTACATTATGAACATCTAAGCATCATCAGAACATATATACATAACTTTATAAGCAAAATAATACTCTAAATAACAGAGGTTAATTTACTAACTCTACCACATTTCCAAACGTCATACAGTAAATGCAACTTAAAGTTTTAGAAAATAGTTTTTTATAGCCGATGGATAAAGGATTTTTTAAATAAAAACAATCACAGAAATTTTTGATGTTAATCAGCTAAATGAAAGTATATAAGAAGGAAATAGTCGCTTATCGGTTTTATGTAACTTTTTTGATTTATGAATCTTCTTAAAAAAGTCCTAACCGCTGGATAACAGTTAAATAATAAAATTGACTCAAATTTTCCCCACCATCTTATAATATTACTTGTTATCAGACAATATTTCTTTCGAATACATCATACAAACTGTAAATATAAGTGAGTTATTAACTTATTTGGTTTAAGGATTTTCATGCATAAATCTTGAAATATTCCTGAATAACTAAAGAAAATCTATTCGACAAAAATTCACTATGGTTTGATTGAATCAAATCATGACATTACACATTTATGTTTTCAGTAGTTGAGATCATCATAGAAAGCCTGGAAGAACCAGACGGCCGTTTATCTTTTCAGTGTAATGGATATCCATATCATCATTATTTTTAACAACAATTAGTTTAGATCAATCAATATACTAACATTCTTGATCAGTATTATTAAAAAAGAATGCAGAAAGAAAGTAGTTGTATAATTTTAAGTTTAAAATATCTACATCATATTCTTCAATCAGTAGCACAACTTCTGTTTTAATATATAGTGGATTTATTAATGGTATCGAAGTTCGGAAATATCTTATATTCAGATATATTTTAAAATTTGAAAAATTCCCATATTGTAAATTTAGAACAACATAGATATAAGTGAACAATATTGTTTTCGATTAGATCTTCATCAGGCTTTACTCTAATATACAGTAATGTATTTATATGCATATACGAAATTATTAAACCAATCAAGGTAGTTTATGAGTCAATAATAACAATGGAAAAGATTACATAATAAGGGGAAAGTACGAATTGATAGTATGATGACTGATGTACTAGTTTTGATAGAAATAATGAAGGCACTGTAATAACATCCATAGAAAGATTATAAGATTACATAATAAGAGGTGTTCACATAATTGAATCGTGAAGCGTATATTTGAGAGAAAAAGGGTAGGAGGGTGTGAAGAAAAATAAACGAAGAAGGAGTGTGGAAAATAATAATAAATAAAATCATTTATTAAGGCAAAGAGAGAGATAAGGGTGTTACAAATTTCTTATGAACAGAAAAACTTGGATTGTTAGCTCGAATTCCTATAGCTTCTGCTATGTGCAAGAGACGAAATCGAACCCCATAAGGAAAACGACAAACAACTTTAAATGACTTATTTCTGTCTACTACATGACATCTATAGATCAAGTGTGACAGAACAGAGCTGCGTATTGTCTTGCCAGTACTTTTTCCTAAGCACAAAGGGAGATGTTCACAAACTCTTTGGCTCAATTTTTTGGTAGTACACCCAATATAGCTTTTTCCACAGGAGCAGCTGAATACGCAGATACACATATAAATGGCATAACCAGGTAATTTATCCCTTAGTTGGGGAATCACCATAGATCGAGTCGAGTATGACAGACAGAGGTTGGCTGCATTAAACGTTCTCTTTACCGCTCTAGTCAGTCTGTCACGTAGTACATCACCAGCTGCAGCTCCAAGAAAAGAGGTTTCTTACTAGTCGTTGATGTCGCTGTTTTCTTATTTATTACATGCAAGTGCTTCTTCAGGAAACCCTGTGGATAACCCATTTCAATCAACATATTATGCATGAGTTAATTAATTAATTGATCAATTGATTAATTAATTGTCTCGACTGAGCATATCTTAATAGCTCTATTTGTCAGACATTCGACTAAGTTCCTCTTATAATAAAGGGGTACAAAGCTTAGGAAATGTGTGTATTGGCTTGATGAAGAGCTTTTTCTATACAACCTTCTACTAATAAAACTATTTTCTTTTCTTCTTAACAAAACGTCAAGGAAATGTAATGTATTATCTAGTTCCTCTTCATATGTAAATTTAGTTGCTGGATGTTTTTTGTTAAATACTTCTTCTTTCCTAATATTGTGATCGACAATAATGAAAGTGTCATCAGTGTAACGACAATAGAAGTCAAGCTTATCATTAACAACTTTGAGAGGTTAGTTTTCTAGTTTCGTGAGAAAAAAATCCACAAGGGTAGGACCTAGAGATGAACCCATAGCTATACTATCAATTTGTCAATAGTATGTGTTATTAAAGACAAAACGGATATTGATTGTACATTTCAGAGGTAATTCTTTGAGACTTACCTCGGGAATTCCAATGTTTATCTGATTTTCAAATAGTTGTTGGTACACAAAGTCAATAGTTTCAGTTAAAGGTACATTGGTGAACAGGGAAGTAACATCTAGACATATCATCTGTTTCCCATTAAAGTTCATATGTTCAACTTCGGAAAGGAAATCGAAAACATCTTTTACACTTCTATTGACGACTAGTTTGTGTAAGGGATCTAGGATTCGAACTAGGCATTTTTCAGTTTTATGATAAGGCGAATTATACATATCTAAAACTAGACGAAAAGAAAGGCCTGTCTTGTGAACGTTGGGTAAACCAAATAGTCGCAGTGTGTTCGATCCAGTGGGTTTATGTGAGTCATGTATGTGTGGAGTAAGTATTCCTTTATTTTTTAATTCCTTAAGTGAATTAGTCAGCAATTTCTCTCTTTTTATATTTATGTTCTTCACATCGTTGATTTTTTGAAATTTAGTCAGATCATTCAAAATCGAGTTCATTTTATCAATGTAATCGGCTTTGTTTATTAAAATTAGCCCTCCTCCTTTTTCTGGCTCGCCTATGATTAGAGTGTTGTTTTTTCTAAGCATATGTAAAGCATGTTGATGATATTTGTTAAGTGGAGTTTTTACAGTATATTTACTATTTTTGTGTTGTCGGCAGATGACCATCAACGTGAGTTCATCGAATGAAGTAGGGACCAAATCTGTTGATTATGTAAATAGATTTTCAAACTGTACATCTGTCAGATATATTTTATCATTTTAACCTAACCTATCATAGTTCGTAAATTTATTTTGATAATAATCTTCTATTCAGAGATATAATTATTAAACAGTTCATTCATAATTTTCATATTCTTTCCATAGTTATATACTCCAGATATTATCAGTGTTCATCCACTTTGGCCTGTGTTAGTCAGTTGGATATCATCATTTGTTTTCTTTATTGCTTCAATCATATGGCTTATTCTTACACAATTAATGACTTTTGAAAATTCTAAAACAATGATTTAATTAAAAAATTTTCCTTACCCGTTTTTTTCAACTTTCTTCTCTCTTCTCTCTTTTTTCTTCCTTCTCCTCTCTTCCTTACTATACACGTATATTTTAAATGAACAAATAATTCATTCTTTATTTAAATGGATATACTATCAGGCAAATTTTAAATTTCTCTAAGATTATTATTAAAATAGGTTTAAACAATTATGTAATGCTCATGTTTATTTTGATGAATATTAGTTTACTCTTTGTGTATAACTTAAAAATATTGATAAATTTTACAGCGACAACAATAAAAAAAAGAAAAAGAAAGAGAAACAAACAAGATAGTTTACGTAATCCATTATCATCTATTGCACATAAGCATTGCATTCCAACTAAATATTGACTATATTAATTACTTGTTCTAAATAATAACAAAAATTAACAGAACTTTGTTCGTTTTTTTCTTTTCTTGTTGTGTCTTTGAGTTTATAGAATAATAATAATAATAAAAGAAAGTTTATTTACACAGTTTTATGGACTCTTCTCTCTTAATAAGATTCTGTGAAAATTCTCTTCAAAATGGATAGATTTGTGTTGTGAGCTACTTATATCCACATAAGTAGTATATAACAATAGTTAGACATAAAATGTATTTCAGTAAAAGACCGAGAACGAAAGAACGGGAACAGAAAACATTTGATATGAAAATGCATAAACAATGAAATCTGAGACAATGGACTGATATTTGCAAAAAAACAGTCAAGTTTGAAACGATGGATTGATATTTTACAAATTAACTATTTATTGTATGGTTCTCAGATTTTAGTGAGATATTCTGTAATTTCGTACTCAATAACATTCGATTGTTCACACTCGTGTTCTCGTTCACTACAGATTGACCACATCCTCATCCATCAACTTAGACTTAAATGTAATATTGATTAAGGAATATAATAACAGTAACTCCATTCAATAATACAAATTTTATGCAATTGGTTCCCTTTATGAATTTAAATAGAGCAAGAACAAACATTGATGAATAATAGTATGAATTCATATTATTTCGAGGTTTCTCGTCAGCTGCTTACAAACCAAAATTGTGATAGAATTCTTTTTTGGTTTGTAAGCAGCTGACGAGAAACCTCGAAATAATATGAATTCATACTATTCTGCATCAATGTTTGTTCTTGCTCTATTTAAATACAAATTTTGCTGCAATAAAAGGATTCTCATCACCAATTGTGTAATAGTAAATATCTCCTTAATATACACTAACATTGAAATCACATAGAATATAATTGTAAAATGTTCTTAACACTCGGTATCTTCTTTTTTTATTTCTACCTGTTCAGCTGCCACAACTATTTGTTTGCAATCATCATATATAAATTACTTGGATCTCAATTTATCTGCTTCTTATTTTGCTAAGGGAGAATATGTCAAGTTTTTGAGTTGCCTCACTATTTAGTAATACAACAATTTGTACCACTTTTATGTTACCATGTGGGTACAAACAATTAGTAATCATAATTATCTGGTTTAAATAAATTAAGAAAAAATATTTTAATTGTAATATTATTACAGTTCAAGGAAAATGTTGCATAAATATTTGAACAGTCCGGTGTTAGTCAAATGTTATTCGATTGTTATTTATCAAATCGATCCAACGAAAGATAAACATTTAACTGGTAATGTCTCTGGCTGTGGCATTCAGAAATCTGTGACAGAATTTTACATTGTGTTTATAAGTAACAACAGGCAAAACACTGAAACTGGGTTTTCTATCGTTTATCTTTGCCCACATAACATGATAGTTAAGGCTAAAATAATACATATATAAACCTAAATATCCGTTAATCAGGCATTCCTCCAATCATTTGATGTAAGAATTTCAAAATGTCTCACACTAAAACATTAGCAATACTTTCCAAATTACTTATGAAACGTTTTTTCTACCGGCTTTTTTTTAGGTTAAATGAAAACGTTCTAGCCGTGTTTAGATCTGCTGATTATTTTGGCTACTTAAAGTACACTATCAAAACGTTGGCCAACTGAATGTAAACCCTAAAGAAAGTATTCGCAAACCAAGCTAGAAAAGAGTGATTGAAATAATTCACATATATGCATTAGTCATAGCTAATTGAAAAAGTACACTTCTTTTTGATGACTCTGACTCATCACAAGGATTCAAGACATTGTGTTATCGGGATGGCTCCCTTTATTTCATATAATTGCACTTCAGATCCCTTATATATTGGTTGGGAACTTTTTACCCAGTAGATCAATTAATTCCAGCGCAAAGTTTGATATTAACTGCCGGAATATTCATCAAAATAGACTGGTATTACTACATCAATAAATATTCGTAGTAAATGTCCTACATGATCCTTCAAACATGTACCCGTCTTATGAGGGAAGTAAACGGAATGATCATAAATAGTAATCTGTTTAAATGTGAAATGACACTTCGCTAACGAGATAAACTTCTTTGGTTGATTCTGAAAATGATGAATCACTGCATTCTCACCCGGTTGTACATATTTCGAAATTCCCAAAATTCTTTATATAACTCAGAGATCATCCAGAGGCATTAGTAATGACTATTTCGTGCCTGAAATGTCTGCACTTCACCGGTCACGACTTCCCACCAGAATCTCAAGAACTTATTGTGAAGCGACTCAGTGGCAAACACACGATTACAGCATTGGCAAAGGATAATTTTTTAGATTGGTTTACTTAGTAAGTTGTATTAGTCACAGACTAAACTCATCATAATTTCAAGAAGTCTCATACTGACACGAAACACCTATATGATGCTCCCTGTTTTTCACTAACACATCAACTGAGATAAATCTTTAACGAATACTGCTTACAAATCAAACCCACCTTCACTCAACCCCTTCACTAGTACATGTCATAAATGTTTTCGTGGTACACGTTCTCCAGATGCATTTTTTAATTATTCCAGCTTGTCAACTATTAAACTTAGATAATCCTGTTGAGCACTATCGAACGTTCTGTTTGACAACCGTCTGAGTGTCGAGTTTAAAGCCTTACCTTTTGCCTTAAAATAGCAGTGAGTTTAAGTTCAATTCAAATGCTAGATTATTAAGGATCAGTGTCCAAGCCATTCAAAATGAACGGGACATCACCAAAAGTAAAGACTAGTATAATACGAATATCCATAATGATGAATAATTAAAGTCACTTTAACTCAATTATTGTTTATAGATTTATATACTAAGTTCTAAATCATCATGTTGTGTTAAGTTAATCATGCAGAATTCGGAATTCTATTCTAATGGTTGAAGATGAAATATAATAAACTGTATTACATCCTAAAATTACACAAATAAATAAACCTTCCATTTTTGGGCTGGAAAATCGTAAACAATTTTATCAAATACAAATAAATTCAAAAGTTCCATTAGAATCCATCAGTCTACTAACTAAACATTTGCTTCTATTTCCCTTTGTAAATAATGATCAATTAAATAATTACTGCTCAATAAGTAGGTCTTTAGTAGATTATATCAAAATACTCCATTATCAATGAAAAAAAAGGAATTATACCTTAGTCAATGAACAGAAATAAAGATTGAATTATAAAATAAACCAAATCAATATCAAATTATTAAATGTAGTAAATATAATTACCGATATAATTTTATACAAGACAGAGGTGATTTAAAATCGGAAGTTTCATCCAATATCGTATTTCTATGTCAGATGTATCTGTATATTAGGAATTGTTGATTTTCATGATGAAAATGGAACTTAACTTCCCTCTCTAGGAAAGCTAAAGCATCAGTGATTACATTACTGAACTGTGCTAGTCACCTGATTTATGGGATATGGTTTCATCCAATGAGTAAGAAAACATGGAAATTAAATAGAAATGATATCCACAAGTTTCTAAATTATAAGGTAACTAACGGAGATTTACCTCAAACGAAAATCAAGTTTGTCAAATTATAATAATAAGTTGAGAAGAGAACAACTGTTGCTCTTTAAATGTTGGCTTAGATTAGTGACAGATATCATGATTATTTATTCAGCTGCTTAAGTATTGTCCCATGTTTCTTTCTGGATCAAAATCCCTATTTGGAATCGACTTATTGGTTTACTAATACTTCCCCAAACCCATTATTAAAGTTTTTCATATTAGAACTAAACTCTAAAACGTCTTCTCGCTACGACACATTTACACCCAGTGGTAGATATAAGAATGTAAGCTCTAACTAGAAAATGGTTCGAGTTCAAACATATGCTCCAGACAAATGTCGACATTCCCAACGATGCCTGGTAACGATAAATTTCATTTGTGTCGATATCACCATGTAGTATATTCTCTCTCAATATGCTTTAAAGTATTACTTTCAAGAATTAAACTGTTCTCTGCATATAGTTACAACTGATAGCCAGCATTACCTATTCCTAGGGGTAGAACAAAGAAAGGCCCCTACTTGTATCTTTCAACTTGACGTAGACTACTTTCTTGGGAATTAAATCACCAGCCACGATTACAGCATCTGAGAGTTTCACTCTCTGAAATAGAGCAGGAATCATTCTATAAATCTCTTGTTCCATTCCATTGTGAACTTGGATTGAGTCATGTAGTGGAAGTGCTCAAATATGGATGTGAAAGACAAGATAAATAACATCAAGGTAAAATACACTGATTCCGGATGAGTATTCGGGAAAAAGAACCTGACATATTATAGTTTTCCATTGATAGTTCTAAGATGCTCAACACGGAACATAAACCATAAAATTCATTCTACATGCCACTAACACAGAAGAAATATCGTCTCCTACCAACAGAAATTTTAAGAAAGTTATAATGTCTTAAATTCTGTCCAGGTATGCTTGTGTGCTTGAATAATTGGCAGTACTAGGCGCTGAAATTGTCAAGCAGTCACCATGACAACCTAATGCAAAATGAATCAGAGGCAGTTAATTTTTATTTCAGATCCTAATAATTTTCACTGAGCTTTCACAAAAGTTAATAAAAGTAATAATAATAATAATAATAATAATAACAATAATTGAAAAGTGAAATCCATAACAAAAACAAACATTGACATACTGAATGACAAAAATATTAGGAGAGACCAGCTCCTTAGAAAAGTAAAAATTATCGTTTGTGCCAGCAATCATTACAGGTCATTACGAAAAATGTTTTGTGCGTATGTAAGACAAAACGACAAAATAAATACATCAAACTAAAAAGGAAAACACACTGATCAGAACACACAAATAAATCTTCATATAAGTAAACAAACAATTTAACACAGTAATTTAGCGTAAACATGTGAGTAGTTTAAAAGAAAAATGATGATGTGATGGTGGTTGTAAGCAGCTGCTGACATAAAACATATTCCTAGATTCCATATTTTTTACCATAGAAAATAAACGAAATATTTCTCTCTGATAAAAAGGAACGGTGATAAAATCCCAAGTCAACCAACAATAGAAATTATCAATAGAAAAGAAATATCCTATTCTTCCTTATTTTCTTTTACAGATTTACTAACATGTTCCAATTAATTAAAGAGAATAACAACAAAACAATAACAACGAGATCTGCAATAATACTGATTACAGTAATAAAGTAATAATTATTAATAGTACTAATAATAGTGAAAGTAGGTAGACAGTTACAAAATAAAGTCATAACGTACAATGATCTGTCGATCAATTTAAGTAGTATGAAGAGTATATTAGTAGTATAAAAAGCGATTCATAGAATAAGTGCATACATGAGGAAACTTTCAATGAAGCTCATTTTCTGTCCCAAAAACAAAAAAAATAGTGTCTTCCGTCCGTTACTTATAGTTTACTTTCATTTACAGGTTATTTTGATCATTTTGCATTTGTAATATTTATGTATCACAAAAAATGAAACGATTTAATTCTTTCCTTTTCATTTGGTGAATATACGAAACACTAATAAAATAATAATAATAATTCTCCATGAATATAAAACTAAAACCATTGATTACTTGAATATTCTAGCAAAGGAACAAAAAGGAATCTATAGAAAGATTAATGAAATATCAAACTGCTTAATTAATTGAATACGCCTATTTTTATGTTTTAAGATGTTTCCTAAAAAAAATGAAAAGAATTTCTATTCTATGTGCATGTATGTATGTATGTATGTATGTATGTATGTATGTATGTATGTATGTATGTATGTATGTATGTATGTATGTATGTATGTATGTATGTATGTATGTATGTATGTATGTATGTATGTATGTATGTATGTATGTATGTATGTATGTATGTATGTATGTATGTATGTATGTATGTATGTATGTATGTATCTATGACAGAGATAGATAGACTAAAGGAAACTTAATCCACTTTATGAGACCAAGAGATAAAGGCAGTAAGTGATGTTTGATAAACGTCATCTTATTGAATGTTTAAGACTAGTGATAATAATAACAATATTGGCATTAATAATAATAATAATAATAATAATAATAATAATATCATTGAAACAAAATGCATTGACCAAAAATTAAAAATGATCCCTATAAAACGAGTGGATAGCAAGAAAAGATTGATAATACACCTAGTCAATAGTACTACGTTTTAGGTGAATATCAAATAATTCAAATAACTTTAGTAGTCACTTTTCATTCTAGTTTTATTGTTTGATATTGACTGTTTTTTCCCTGCTTGTATATCACAGAAATGTATTTCGAATAATGAAATGACTATCAGTTACTCCCTAAAGTCATCATGTTCATCGTCATCATCATCACCAAACCCTGGTGGGAAAAAATATTGCATAAATGGCTGTTGGGTTTGTTGGGGTAACTGTTGTTGTGCTGTCGTTAAGGTCAGTTGTGGTACGCGTAAACGTGCTTCTGAAAATCGTGGGGGTACCTGCGAAGTTGACGGTCCAGGTACCAAATAACAATGCGGTGTAAGTGAATGTAATAATGGACATTGAGCTATTAAATGATTTGGATCACGACATCGATAACAACGTCGTCGCATAGGTTCGAACGGACATGTGGCAGCTTTATGTGAAGCGTATTGTCCACAATTATAACAGCTAACAATATAGAGATATTTTTAGTTAAAGAAAAATTATGAAAAGAAAAATAACATTTATAAACAAAGTATAGATAGTTATAATTCACACTTAACCTACCCTGGTAGTACTGATTTACTATCAAGAGTAGTAATCACATTTGTTTTTGTGTACTTTAATATTTTTCCTTTGTTATGACTTACCCTTAACCTGTCTAGTTGACCTTTTTAATTTTCATATATAAATGTTCTTAACAAGTATATGTGTGATCAGATTGTTCGAAATGTATTGCGCTAATATATCATCACATAATTCTGATAAACTACGTCTTCTCATTGTATTATCAAAGGGATTAATTAATAAGAACTTTCGTCTAAATTTGAACGAATAGTTTCACAATATTTGGGCGCCGAGTTAATGTGAGACATTAAAAAGAAGAATATATTTGTAAAATCTCAGCGAATGAATTTTAAGTAAATCCAACGTTTCGCCTGGCAATCTGGTCCAAGCTTTTTCAAGGAAAATATAATCAAACAACAAAATTATCGAATATAAATAGGTACAAGGTTCTTCGGTTTACTGTATACAGAATAAGTCATCTAATCAACGTGAAGGATCTTTTTATAAATAGGTATTTGTATTAATGTGTTTATATGAAAAATAATAAAGATCAACCAAATAAAAGTTCATTTGAAAATAACCAAGGGGAGAGAAAGAATAAGAAATTGTCGTGTTATCCTAGGCCATAGAATGACTTTAAGGATTACATGGTTATGACAAATTGTTTTTGTACACATAAGGACAAGGTATGTGTTATGGAACCAAAAACGTGTTAAGACAACAGAATGTGTTTATACGCAAGTGATGTGAGAAGAAATTTCATTCAATTAAGTATTGACTACGGTCTGTGTATATTAAGAAAACAGATCATTTTTATATATGAAATGAATCAAAAATGCCACAGCCTGCATTAAATGAAGATAAATAAGATAAGTAAACAAAATAAAAGAGGAATGTATATGTAATTGAAAGTGTGTGTTATTTTTAATGTTACAGTCAATTGTTTAACATATTCAGATAAGATAACGGATCTGAACCATTGAACGTATTATCTATCAGTTAGTTACTATGGCATAGATATATCAAATTGCAAAAAGGAGATCAGGTTTACTTATTAATTATTAGTTGCCATGGGACAGCTAGTTGTATTCCATCTCTCCTATTAATATTGTTTGAATTAGCCCATATATGTAGGGCTTCGGCTGTTAGTCGTTCTTTGTAAGAATTAAATCCTTTTTGAATGATTCTCGTGCCATTGAAATCAACTGTATGACCCGACTCAATCGAGTGTAATGCTATCGCTGATCTGTTCTCAAGCTTTTTTACATCAACTGAGGATTTAGGAATGTGCTTTAAGCACAGTTTGTGTTCCTTCACCCTCACATTCAGTTACCTTGATGTTTCACCTACATACGTTGCATTACAGTCATTACATTTGATTTCATAAACACAATTCTGTTGATCATCCTTGTGTATTGGATCTTTGATTCTTACTAGTTTTGATCTTAGAGTATTGTTTGTTCGAAAGAATACTCTTATATTTTGACGAGTTAAAATCCTTCTGATGTCTTCTGAGATACCTTTACGATATGGGATCACTATTGTGTTCATCCAATCTTGCTTAACTCTTTTTTTTAAAATATCATTCCGTTCTTCATTCTTAATTATTCTTTTAATAAAACCTTTCGGATAATTATTCATTAATAGAGTGGATACAACTAAATTCATTTCTATTTTTATATCATTTGGTTCAGTGACAAGTTTTTTGACTCTGGTGATCAAATTCTTGGCCACTGTCACTTTGGTCGAGTGTGGATGCGCAGACTTTAAATCTAAAAATTTCCCTGAATATGTAGGCTTTCGGAATATATTAATTTTTAAACAATCATTATCCTTCCTTTCAACCAGGTAGTTTAGAAAAGGTCATCTGCGTTCAGGCGATTCCAACTCTTTAGTAAACTTGATTTTGTCATCTAAGCTGTTGAACTGTTGGAATAGTTCGTGTAAACCATCTCGTTTTTTAATGACAAAGGTATCATCTACGTATCTTACCCAACCTAATTTGTATATAAAGTAATAGTGTGAAATGTGTATGTTTTAAGATGATGGGAATTTTTCAAACAGTTAAATGAATTATAAAACGGTTTTCATATTTCGAGGAGTTCTGTACAGACAAACAGAAGGTGTGGCTATGGGATCACCTGTCTCTCCAATTGTGGCTAACTTATTCATGCATTCATTGGAAACAATTGCTATCTCAATGTGTTCCATTCCACTAAAAATTTGGGTAAGATACGTAGATGATACCTTTGGGTTGACATTAAGCCCACGGCAATTAAGATTCCCTACCACCCATTTCTAAAAAATTAAACCCTATCCTTTCACTCCATAATGGTCATACATATTATTATCCTTAACCGTGCACACATACACACACTCTAATTTGCAAACATGTCGCTATGACTCACCCTGACCGAAATGATATGACGTCAGACCTGTTTTTTGATTGTTCGCACATAATATTCTTGTGTTGTTGCGTTGTACTATTTAAGCTTGGATTAATTTTGGTTTGGTTATTCTCTGAAAAAGTAGCTTACAATGAGTCACGAGACGTCAGAAAATTTAATTTTTCTACTCTTCGGGCTGGATGCTGGTTCAGTAGTCTAGTGGTTAAGCGCTCGTGCACGAGACCGATAGGTCCTTGGTTCGAACCCCGCGAGGCGGGGTACTCGGTGCGCACTGCTGGGGGGTCCGATAATAGGACAAAACAGCCATCTGCTGCTCCCAGGTTCTTCATGGTGGTCTAGCTTCAATTGACTCATGATCTCAACTGTTAAAATGTATTTTATCTTAAACCTAACCGCTTTTTAGATTTTAAATTGGAATATCTAACAGTAGAACATAAAGAAAATTTATTGGAAAGAATATTCCTCGTTCATACCGATATTTTTCTGACTTTTTTGAGTTCAAGCTGATAGACTTTCATTCTGTTGATAGAGGAAATTATTTTGACGGAGGGAAGTTTGTTCGTGCGACCTTCTTCTTCAGGCTCAATGTCTATAAATGAATAAAATCTTTACTGTCACAATAACAGAAGTAGTGATTTCTCGTTATTGGTAGTAGTGTGTGATTCAAGTAACCACAGTCACTTAACCTGATATGCTCATTTCAAACAGTGAAGTTAGTTATATTTTTAAAATAGTTTATTGAGTATGCTAAAGATATCAACTGATCACCAGTTATATCATCCATTATAGTTTAAAGGAATTCAGGAATTGATTTCTTGATCGAATTAACGATTTAACCACCAAAAACATTTCACTAATTTTAGAATTCATTCAAGCTATCATAATAGAAAATCTAGTGAAAACTTATACCACTAAGTCATTATTTATCTTCATCTATCTAGTTTATGAATGAAAATTATTATTATTCGCCATAATACTCTTAAGTAAGTGATGTCACTTTTTCTAAGAGTTGCTGAAAACAATAAAAAGTACTCCTGTTTCCATCATCAGTTCTACCTCTCATCACTAACCCAACTGCTAAACAAGATACAAATTTAAATATTTACATCAAACTACTTAAGATTGATTGACCACTGGGTAGTGACCAATGTAACGTATTTTAAGTCCTTCTTAGTGCTATTTAAGTTCTGTTGATCATGTTACAATTTGGTATGCGACATATGCGACATCGTATACACTTTATTGAGATGTACTTGGGTTGTCGAAACTATTGTTTGCTCTCTACAGATTTTTTATTGACTTACATATATTGCTCGGTAAGACTACGAAGATGATTTCGATTAGCAAACTCAAAATCAACAATCATTTTTAAACTAGCAGTACAACCATGCTAACCAGTTAGTATTCACTGCCTACATATTTAACATTGTTCAGTTTTACAATTTCTACTATTCTCTTATATAATATTTAACTACTCGTAAGTAGTAAGCGATTCCACTTAAAATTATTTAGGAAATTGTTAATGGATTTATGCATTTATTCATTTTACTGTTATGTTCCACATACATCTAACTAACACTGATATTTATTAAAATTCATGAACTACATGAAAGCGTTTTGATGTTTATACATTTTACTACAATCACTTCATGATACACCATAATGATCACTCAATGTAATCAAAGATGACTGACATAATATATAAAATAAGCAACTCAGTCAGACACAGTTTAACATTTGGACGTTGCTGATAATAACTTATGTTGGACTGAATTCATATAATTAATTTTCAAACGGGGTTAGTTGAGAAATGAACAGCTTACTGGTAATTTATGTAACTACTGGGCTGAATAATTATGTTCTCGGAGAAGGTGTAGTTTTATTTATTAACTCAGATCCTCATAGGTAATGGATACAACGGTGCACAAGACCGGATTTATTACCTCCTGTAATAATTTTCAGCCAGCAAACCTTGGGCAATATCTGATCACATGGATCTATTGTTGTCTGTTTGAGATATAAGTTAAAAATTGATCTAGACCAATGTGATATGGTGAGCCAATCAGAAGAAACCAAATGAGAGGGTCACTTGATAATCTGAAATGGCTTGAAGGATAAATGTATACCATTGACTAAGAAATGGATAAATTTTCTGAACGGTAGAGATGTATGTGTAAAAAGAAGTATTTGTGTATACTATTTAGTAGCCCAACATACTTTCTCATCCACTCCCGTTTTCTCTCACTAGCTGTCTGGTGGTGAGTTAGAGTGTAGCACGTTGTGTATCAATATCAGTTTTCAGACACCGCCCACCATAACACAATGTAAGACTTGTTATTTAGAAATTCAGACTTCCTAGTTTACGGTAAACGCACTACCACTCAGTCACTCAGATATAATAAAGAATTTACATCAGGAGCGTCAGAATGGTTAAAACAATCAGATTTCTATTTCGAAGATTAAGTATGCTATTATCAACCCTTACTTTCTATCTCCCTATTCCATCGTTTATAATTTAAATATGATCATAATTTAGATTTTTATTGAACAGTGATGAACACCAAACAGAAAAGTAATAATATCTCAATTTTTTAGGGTCACTTGAGAAAAAAAATTTTCGATCCCATAAATTAGTTCACAGTTAACATATAAAATACAACCACTTATAGTTCAATATTATATTGCCAATTATATAAGTTTCTCTTCATAAGTGTGGAAAATTTTGTAAAAGATATTATATGAAAGTAGGATTTATCGAAATCATTCAAATGAATAAAGCTTAGGAAATATCGTGAACTGACTAAACTTGGAAATATTGAGGACTATTTTCTAATTCAGTACTTTTCACGCTACCGAGATCTGATGCACAGATTGTTTTTACAGGTTTGATCACCTTTCATACAACTTTTATTTCTGCACACTCTTGTTCGGTTGACTTTGCATCATGTGATTGACTGACTGTATCTACATGGACAGATACTTATGTCTGTTACCCCTAGTGGAGCGTTGGCCGTCGACCAGGATTCACCAACATTCTCTAACATGGACAGACAAACTGGATCAGTGTTAATGTATCTGTTAACAGCGGATTGAAATAAATTTCAGACTTCTAAAAGTTCTCTGTTATCTATGAAGTCCCCTAATATTCTCCTAAACTACAAATAAAGCTTCTCAGTTAAACTTGAAAAATTCTGAAATACCGAAACTACATACCAAAGCTACAAATCTTCTCGATCATTAGAGGTTATACTGTGGAGTCCAATATTTCAGTCATTAAGATCACAAAGGACGGTTAAAAAACAATAACAAGTATAATAAAAATTCTTTAACTAATAAATATTTTTTGGTTTCATTGGATGGAACTTTAATTTAGCAAGCTTCTATCTATATAAGCAAATGATTATTCACATTGGAGGATTCTGTAGATCTTTCATGTGCGGATTGTGGTTGGAATTACCTAACGCTAAGCTTCGCTAAACAAAATGCGAGCTTTTAAGATAAGCTGAAAATGGGTCCACTTAGTACTGAGATGTCTGCTATTCACTACATAAGGTTTATGGGTTACAGTCTAATCCATTTAACACGCCTAGTTTCCCAAAACATTAAAATCTAATGATGAGAGGACTGAACGCATCACATCTGGATGAAAGTCAGCTTGGTCCCAGTTTCACATTATGCAATGTCATGTGTACCAAACAGATTGTTTCGCACTACAGAAATGGTCTTTTGCTTAACAGGTGGGTATGACGGTTATAGATTTGTTTAAAATCTTAACCATATACATATTTTTACTACTAGATTCATGCAAAGGGATAAACGTTAATCAAAATAATCAGTAAAACATTTAGATCTACAATTGCCTCAAACAACCATTAACCTATCTTCATTCCTTGGACTTACCGAAATCGTCTTGTTCTACGTCTTTCAGGTAACCTTCTCATTCTAAGTGGCTCTGAACTAAGAGGAAATAAGGGTTGACGAACTGCTGGTTCTGACCATGGAATTCGTGATGTTGAAGGAAATTCTCTCATTTCAATTGCTGGTTGAATATTATATCCTTCTAATCCTCTTACACCTGGACGTATTTGAAACCAAACTGGTAAGTCTGGATATAACTGCTCCGCAGAAATTCCGTATACGTTAGACTAGAAAGAATGTTTTTAGAAAGCCAGAATACATTAAGCTATTTTTATGGCCAAAATAACAAGTGGTGAATAGTTTAAAATCAGAAAGCAGTGGACGTTTGTTTTGTCATATTATGGGACTAAACCGCAACACTAACCAGCCACAATCTTTAATAAAGCCGAACTCACTGAATTCACTATAAAATCCAAGATCCACATTTCCACCTGAAGCGAATTCGGATAACGACCGTTTAATGTTCTAGTGGGACGTCATAAGGAGCGGAATTTACACATACCAAGAGTAGACAGATATCGCTACCGCGTAAAAATTGAAATGGATTGGATTTTAGAAGCAAATATTAGATGGATGAATGTAACTGGAAGAAGGCTGTTGTCATAGTTAGAACGCATCTGCGAAGTTTACTTCTAGCCTTAGAGGGAATTATCCTGCCTATGAAATTTAAGCCTGTATCACTCAGTCTCATGTTCATTCACATGACCACTGAGTTATACTGATGACTGGCACTCTCTGTATCTTGCCTCTAACCATATTAAACATATTGATCCACAACGTCGAGTCACATGGTCGTCTGACTACTTCTATTGCTGTAATTCAACAATCAGTTCCACAGAAGTTTGAATTCCATTTCTTTCCGGGAAAAACAGCGATCTATGGTTATCATACAATTTAAATATTCAAAGTCTTTGTCAATGGTGTTAGTTTCCAATCCCCTATATAACTAGAACTACAGACGGTTATACTCAAGATTTTGAAAATCCCAGATTGTTACAATATTACTGTACGACTAAATGCAAGTACATCTATGGAAAAAACAGACTAGAAACTGTAGGCTTAACTAAATAATTTAAAAAAGTATACGTTTCAGAGACCAAAACAGTATTAATAGTTCAACTGTTACCTACTTGGTATGAGATAAATTTAAAAATTTCAAGATAATCTTCCTTAAAGTGATTATTACAAGTCATTGCAATTCAAAATGAGTCAGTAGCTAACACTCAAAACGTTGATAAACGACACTAATTGTATGAGTAACTTACAGTCCAGTGAGATTAACTCACTTTCATAATGTAGACTAATGTTAACTTCTCTAGTATTTAAAAAAGCTATCAGTAAAAATGCCCCAGTAAACAGTATTAATCTAAGTTAAATTCGAATGTATCCTTCTAAATAATTCAGTTGTGATTAGGAGAATAATTCATGTCAAATTGCTTCAATTTATTACATTCTGTATGTAGCTGTAAGGTGAATCCAATAAAATAAAATGAAAACATCCATAAAGCATATAGTTTTATCCTATTTAAATCATAGCTGAAAACAAAAGAATGACCCTCTCCCAGTTTGGAACTCTATAGTCATTAGTAGCCAAATAACTACCCTGGTTCACAGAAGATTTCTAGCTCATGCTAATAGTGATGGAGTGATAAGTAACACTTAATGCATAAAAACCTTTGAACGTTGAGTATTTTATAAGCTAAACTTCATAATTTGAATAAAGAATTACCCACATGATATGAGACAATAAGTAGTTTTTCTAAAAATTGATTCTTTACTTGGAATACATTCGTGTGTTAGAATTAAAAGTAATAGTATAACGTAGTCATTCAGCTAGTTAACAGAAGTGGGTGCGGAAACTGCTTTTTTCAACGATATAAGAAAGGTTTAATAAAGCCGTCGCTCGAGATACTAACGAATTCAATGAATTCAAAATAGCTGTCAACAATAGGTTCCATGCCTTACAAGATCAACTCATAAAGGAAGAAACTACTATGGAAGACAACTGGGACGGGATAAAAGAAGCACTGACTTCAACGTATCAGCAAGTGTTGAACCTCAAGGAGCGTCATCATTAGGAATAAATTTCTATGGAAACGCCAGATATTATTCAAGAAAGGAAGAACAAGAAAACAGCAATTAACAACAGTTGAACAAGAACAGAGAGAGTCAAGGCGCAGACTGAATACACCGAAGTAAACAAGAGAGTGAAGAAGAGTATTAGAGCTGGCGAGCAGAAATATGTGTAGGACTAAGCAATGACATCGGAAAGAGCTGCATGAGAAGGAAGTGTGAAACAACTATATGATGATATAATGAAGAAACTAGTAGGGAAATATTGTAAACGAGAGCAATCAGTCAAAGACGAAGAAGGCAAGCCAATCACTGAGATTCAAAAACAGCGAAATAGACCAAATCACGACACTACGGTCAATTGTTTAACAAACGGTTGAACGGGACTCATTAATATACGTTGACTTCCTTGATTGTGACAAAGCATTTGGCACGGAATAAGATGGACAGCTTGCATGCAACTATACGATTCGGACTTCGCAGTTCACCTAGCTCTTCTTTTCTATACATGTCAACAAATTCAGGTAAATACAGTTGGTATAGAATCAGCTTCTGGAGCAACTGGCCTCAACCTTCACAGGGGAAGAGCAGGATTCTGAAATACAACACAGAGACAACAGACTCAATCATACTTGGTGGAGAAGCTCTGGAATTGATGGGAAGTCTTTCGTACTTGGACAGCATGATCGATAAACAAGGGAGATTTGATTTGGATGTGAAGGTGCTGATTTGTAAAGCAAAGGTAGCATTCCTACAATCAAAGAACATCTGAAACTCTAAACAACCGTCGGTAAACATCAAAGTCAGAATTTTCAAATTTGAACTTTAATACTGTCCTGTTGTACGGAGTTGAAACTTGGATAACTACTACAACCATCATCAAAAGTGTATAGGTATTAATAAACTCCATATTTGTTTGCCGGATAACGTCAGCAACAACTTACGGTATGAAATAACAAACAAGCTTCCAATTGGAGAGGAAACTAAAATTACTTTGGTGGTGGATAGGACACAGATTTCAGAAATCACTAAACAACATTACAAGATAAGCTCCAACTTGGAATCCCGAAGGTTAAAGGAAAAGAGTAAGACCAAACAACATGTTGAATAGGGAGTCGAAGGGAGAAATCTGAAGGATGAACAGAACTTGGAGACAACTGGAAAAGCAAATCCATGACAGAGTTGGTTGGAGAATCTTTGTCGGTGGTCTATGATCAATGAGAGGTAACAGGCGTAAGTAAGTGAGTAAGTATATGTAGGATCCCTATATTTTCTGGAAATCGACAGTTATCTGAACTTTGGGTAAAATCGTTCATTTTTATGTGTTTCTTTTAAATGATATTTCAAGTAAACAAAACGTCTCTCAGCTTTCCCTTAATAAACTTGTAAACACTTAAGGCTTCATTGGATCCCTATTATTTATAGGTCAAATATCTATTTTTATCCATAATGGATAATTCGGTGATGAGTATATTCGTGATTTGATGTGTAGTAGTTAATAAAGTTTTGCTACTTATAGGTTGTTTACTAATAGAATTTTCGCTGATTTGTTTGTTTTTGCTATAAATGTGTATTTTTAAACCAGATGGGATAATTTTAAAGCTTATATATCGCTATATTACAATTATCTGCAATATTGTACTATTTAATTTACTTGGTGGAAAAAAACGTCCAAATTACGAAAATCTGCTACAATACTGCCAAAGTGTTCGGTCACACTAAACGATTTAATACGACCTCTATTCCATTTTCCTGGACCAATATATGGGTCATATTCTTGTGGTATACGCGGTGGCAACGGTGGAGGTCGTGGCGGAGGTTGTGGTGGAGGTTCCCATTCGCGAGAAAAGGATCCATATGAACCAACATATTTTGACCTAAACATTATATCTGAAATCGATGAACAAAAATTTTGCTAATTAAAAAATACAAAGTTAGAAGTTAATGTTTGATGTTTTTTGTTTAAAAAAGACTTATCACCAGTTCAGTTGTATAAAAGTAATGTAATCAGTACAACGCTTGAAAGCACTGCTATTTGTCAATGACAGGACCATAATTGATCAAAGTTCAAGAATGAGATAAAACAGCCATCAATTTCTTTTTAGTTTTCAATAGCTGATATCAAGCCTTGACGAATATTATCCTCATTTACCTATAATTTAATTACATAGTACACACAATGTTCAGTAATTTTGTGTACTGCTTCATAGCATAAAGGTTTATTTTCATATTGTTTAAACATTTTTTTTCACCAAACTTTTATTATTGATATCCAAGTAGCATAGGTTATAGTTTGCACAAAACGTCGTTTATACTAACTACCTTGCCAACTACCAAGAACTATCATTGGTTTTTTTAATTGGATAGTCAAATTTTTACATAGCTTTGATTTAGGTCAGGACCCTAAAGATTCAGCTAATATTGTTTGCCAGTTTTAGATTTATTGACGGTCGAACACAACCACGACCACAGCATTCAGGTTTCGTGTGAAACACGACGTCAATCAGTTATTGAATCAGAACTCAACATTGCATCAAGTAGTCTAGGATAAAGAGGAACTATAAGTCAGTAAGTAATTATCCTAATTCTTCACGAGTGACTCACCAAGTCAGAGATTCCCACTGAAAATTTTTATTCGATGCTGTAGTGGAAGGTTGCAACCTCCGAAGTCGACTGATTCAGTAATGAGATGTTTGGTGTCGATGATAACGATTGTGTACCAAATTTCAAAGTAAATAAACTGAACATATGCTACGTTGATTTCGTATAGGTGTCACGCTCAGGGTTAGAACTGAAGCTTGCGTTTTTCATTCCTTGTGAGAGATCTGGTTTTACGATACTGAAGAGTCCTGAGTTACGACAAAACATGTGTTCAGGACCTTTTGAGAAATAACTGATTATTTTGATGAAAAGTAAGCTATTAAATCCCTAGTGGAGAATTGTAATTCATTTTGATGATTAGAAATAAACAAATAGACATAAGCGTAGCATTGAACCAGTATAGAATAGCACATGTGAAATGAATTCATTCAGTCCACCCTAAGAAAGTTTGGGACTAAAAATTATGATCGATAAGGATGGAAAAATACTAAGATGAATAGGAAATATTCTGTGACGATGGACCACGGGTGAACTCGAGGAAGCTGTAAGAGGCTCAGAAGGAGCCGAAGATGTTCCATCCAATCACCTTTCGGGAGAATATTCTAGAATTCCTAAGTGTAGCTTCCCGATTGGATAATGCTAATAGGAGGACTGAAATGATGATTTCGTTCTTACTAAAAACTATAAATACCTGACAATTTTGTACCATAATTGACACTATTTGGAATAATATTCCTTTCATTAGTCTTCTGTCTGCTTATTGCGATTTGGAAGGGTTTTGGTGTTCTAGTGCTCTGTTATACGCGGTATATCAAGAAATCAACATTCAAGATATAACATATTCGAATAGCAGAAACATTTAAAGGATGATGTCTGAAAGGAGTGAATATACCTATTTTATTGCGTATAAACTCAGTTTTAACCACTCAAATCCCACGGCTCGAAGTGAAAATGAAAGACTGGTACAAACGAAAATTTAATAAGTCTCCAAAAATACGTCCACAAAACAATTAATCCCAACCAGTAGTCTAAAATCACTTCGTCATTAAACCAAGCTCTCATTTATATATTGATTTTTCACAAACTTAATGATTAGTTAATAAACATCATAGGAAAGGAATGATGCACATGGTTACTGTAAAACAATTACGACATTCTTGCTGGATAATACAAAGAACATAATTGTCACACATCCCATACTGAATGAATTTCAGACTCAGTTGACACAAAATATAATGTCCTAAAATATTGGTACAGTTGAAAATATGACTTCAATATCTTAGTGACCGTGAGAATGAAATCGATATCAAAATGTCACATTGAGAATAAGTAATGTTATAAAACGTTGCGCTGAGTTGGAGGAAACATAAACTCTTCATCTTATCTCGTCTTATTGATAACTAATATCACCTTGAAAATCTGAAAGTAAATTAGACATTTTTTCATCGTACCAATCTGGCTTACTTTGTATTTACTCCCCAGTTATAACTTCCATCCATTGTGTGTGTATACATCCGTACTTTGGTAAACGTAAATTACGCCTAAACAAATTTAGTACAGATTCACAATATCATCTATTATCTTAACCTTCTTACCTAGAAACGTTGGTATAACTAGGTTGTTTCTTGATTGAAGCACCAGAATCTAACCATTTGGTTTTAAGTTTAAACTTAACTCCACTTAATTCGGTTGTTCGGTATCATAACTGTCCTTCAGGCTTAGGAAGGGTTTTAAGGTCAAATTTGTACTTGATAAATGCGTTAAAGTAGAATAAGTGGTTAACCAATTATGATGACACCTTTTCAAAAAAAATAATTTTTATTTTTCAGATGTTGCCTAAGAATGTCAAACTCATTTATATGCATGATTGCTTCGTTTAAGTTGAGTTTATTTGAACAAATTTACTGACTATAAACTTATTTGGCGGTCTCTTATAAGTATGTAAATTTTAGCAACATCTGATCATCTATCTAACTTTTATGTCAAGTATTCTTCAATTATATGAAAACAAAAGAAGATAGACCGACTCCGACAAAAACTCAATACAAGCCAGATTGATTACGTATTAAACCCCATAGAAGACTAGAAACAATAACTTTTGGAAAAAAAGACGTTGGAATTTGATCGAAGAAATGCATTTGACCAATTATGAAGGTTATTTATATAAAGTTATGCATATGCAGGAGACTGAGTTTTTTATTTCTTGGTATCAATGACTACAAGTGAACACGTTGGTACTGACTATTTGGACCCAATAGTTTAGTTTACAACTCGGTGTTTGAAACGAAATATAATGGATTCGAGTTCAGCATGAATATCAACATTGGAATGCGACTGGCGAGTATCAACTAAGACAACACTTGTGTTGTGAACTCCACCACTAGTTACAATCCAACTTTCTAAGACTCGTAACTAATGCTACTATCAAAGCAATCTATTTAGAATGTATATACAACAATTGCGATTGATCAAGTGTATTATGATAACTTATTTGTAAAGATTTGTATCCTTTTTGTTATTTTTAATCCAAATGATGAGATTTAATACGAATATGTTGTTGAAATGTGTTTTTTTTCTAACCAAATTAATATCAAGTGAAAACGAACATGAACGTATTATTGTAACTACAACTAATCTGTATTTGTAACCTAGTCTAATTGCATCACAAATCCAGGGTGTATCTAGACCTTTAAAGCAATAACCCTAGACTAATAACCTAACAAACTTTTTATTAAGCTAGAAAAATAGTCATAGCCAATCATGTTAAATAATCTCCAGATTAAACAAATAGAGTTACATCCTTGGCCAATTAAATCTATGTCCAACATCCATGCTACTAAGTTGGTGGGTATTTTCGATTTCATTTTTGTCACAGGACGATTGCAAATAAAGTGTAGATTGGACAGATTTTAAGGTTAACAGTAGAAGAATCATTTCGCATACTGAAAAGTTTCTTTTGAAGGATTTACCACTACACTTAACTCCATGGTTTCTTTTTATTAGCTTCAGGTTCTATAAAGAAAAAATGATAAGCTGAATTTTACTTTCTAAATAACACACTCATGAAGCTGTGACTCATTCTAGTAGAAAACGAATTATCCAGCTAGATAATATAATTCAGACCAAAATATTGCTATAGAAATAGCAGTTATTCCACTAGAACGTTTAGGGAAATTCGTTGTCATACTGTCATTTGGCAACATTTGCAAATTATTAGAGGATATGAATTTAGTGAACAACAAAGTAGGAAAAGAGAGACAGTTTTACCAGTAGGATATTTTGTTTCCTGGTTTACCACATTGTTTATAACAACTGTTAACATGATAGTTATACTAAGGACAAACTCCATAATGAACCTAAATACACTTAACTCCATTGAATCTAAATGGAAGCGATGAACAAATAAAAGTCCCAGAATTCATATGTCATCGGTTAAATTGGTGTATTTCAGAGGATGCATGAAGCGAGATACTACAGATGCATCTGAAGTTAGAATATTAAAATAATGTTCAACATGAGTTTATAATAGTTTAGATGAACCAACTAGGTCTAATGAACAATCAAGTAAACAGTTAACTCATTGTAAATAATATATCTGGAGAAATAGGAAAAGTGTAAACTTTCCACTTTCAGTCTACAGTGGAACATATGATCCCACTTCATAAATTTTTATAACAACTAGAAATTAGGTGGGTCACAATTATAATATAATAAAGACTAATTACAAATGTTAAGGATTCTTGAAGTAAAATATATACAAACAGCAACAGTAAGAAGAGATGATAGACAACACAGTAATGGATATGCTTGTACGTAATAAAATGTACACATAATAAGTGATTGATGCATATTCAACAAGTGACTTAACGAATAAGCTTTTTATTGATGTGATATGACTGGTTACCAAATCTAATCGGTTTTGCCAGTATACATAAATGAAACTCATGTACTACGAGTTCAATATTTTATAAAAAGATTTATGTAGCTTAAAAATGATACATTTAACAATGAACTAATTCAGTTTCAACTGGAACATTGTTATAAGGTTACAACTCAATTCATTTATATCAGAAGGGTTTTCTGGATATTATGGTAATTTCAGTGGTTGAGATCATGAGTCAATTGAAGCTAGACCACCATGGAAAACATGGAAGCACTGGGACTCCTCAGCAGTGCTTACAGTGCTTCCAGGTTTTCCATGGAGGTCTAGCTTCAATTGACTTATGATCTCAACCATTTGAATTCATCCAATTGATAGGTTCAGAGTTAGGACACGGTTTGTATTCTAATTTCTACTTCTAACCAATTATCCGCCGTTACACTTTGTATTGTTATTGTAAAATACTAATTTTAATAATCATTAGTGTATCTTACCCCACTAAGATAGGCAGCAAACACTCAGTTGTTATAATTGTCTTTTTCCTGATTTTTACTAATTTCGTCAATAATAATAATAATAATAAAAGAATAATAGACCAGACATAAACTGTCCTTTTTTTCCCTTCTTGTATAACGTCATACTGACACGTGGTGGTATTATTGCCAATAGTTTATGTATGAGTGTGTTTCAGATATTTAAGAATTCATTTTATCTAGGGTTGGTAAAAAAATAATAATAATAAGATAAATCAAATATTTTCATCTATAACTAAGTGGATTGTAAAATACAACATTAATTTATAAAATGAATTTCTACAGATTAACTAGACTTTGTAGTTTTTATTAAAGAAGAAATTTCAATAGGATAACCAGAGTGCATAGTACAATTATTTTACTTGGTTAATTCTACACGATTGTAATAGTCATTCATGAAACTGTCTGGGATCGAATCTATGACTTGGAAACTTTATGATAGTTTAGTTACTTATGGATCACTATGTTGAACTAAGAAGAAAAGTTATCTGATGCTTCAAACCTTCAAATGACTTCAACCCACGATTTTAAAAAAATTAATTTTATACTGAACTAACAGTTGTAAAGAGCCTGCCTTAATAATAATCAAGTATTTCGTATTACATCCCCTAAATTCTATTCAGAAGTCAGAAATGGTGCAATTCAACCATATTGGAAGTGAAGCTGGTGACAGCTGATAACATTGAATGACTGTCAAGTTACATCAAAAATTCACTGCAGTACGAGATGTGAACCACGGGATTCCGATTCAGTGATCTAGAAGTAAAGTATTTCTATAACTGTGAGAGCAGCAGATTAGAGGACAGCGAATTATTGATCGGACCAAAGACGCGCAAACACGTAGAACGGCCTAGGGTTCTGACTGGTCCCACTTCCTTGCCTAACCCAGCCAGTTGAGTCCAGAACACAAGTCACAGCCTCGGAGATATGAATCCTTATATTTCAAACACACTGTTTATATACTAATCAAGCAGACCACATCGTACCATAAAACAGAAAATAATATTGTACAATATTGACCAGTAGGAAAATGACACGTGAAATAAGTACTGACCAATAAGAAAATAATACCATCTCCAAGTCCAAGAATAGCATTAGACTTAATAGAATAATTTTCGGGATATTTTCCTGCATATCCCA